ATGAAGATGGACAAAAATCGTACAGAGACTCGGAGAGACCTTCATCCAACAGTATTTCGATGAAACCTGATGATGATGGCAAGGTTTGCTGGTAAAACATTGACTTTTGCTAGTTGCACTTTATGGCAACAGATACCATAGCATCTGAAGACAGCTGCATTCCGTCTTACATACTGAACTCTGTCCTGGGGGCTGATCTGACTATTTACTTGAACATATACCGATCTCTCGTTCAGGCAAATTCATCCCTTAAAAAGTAGCCAGGCTGAATTTACATTATTTTGAATGATTTTTTAATTTTCAATGTAGTGATATTTATTTACGCATTTTGTGCGTTTATTAAATATTTTTTCTCGATATTAAGCGTTTTAAATAAACTATATTGTCCCTATTATCCAGCCCTATTATTCACATGTCATCGACCTGTTGACCCGTTTTTTTGCTAGAAGCTCAGAGAGGTAAATTCGTTGCTAAAGAGAAATGATAGTTAGTAATAGAAAATTTACGCCGCACGTAGGGTTTGAATCCGGCACCTATAGGGCAGAGCAAACTACTAAACCATTTCTCTACTGTCTCCCTCCCCTCATGAAGTGGAAACATGGCTAAGTTAGTGACTGTTATAAATGACCTTTTGCTATATTAGTCTTTTGTTTAATCGCTATTTTTTACTTAATTTGAGCACAGCTGACAGCAGTGTTAACGTTTGCGTTTCTCTTATTGCTCGACTGCAAAATAGTTCTGTTCTCAACTTCGATAATAAGTCTAATGAAATTTGTTTCAACGTCGTATTTTTATATTCATATTTATATTTTCTAGTCAGTTTGATTTATTGTCTGTCCTTGAATTTCTGTGAATCAGCTGAGTTTTACTTTATTTTCCTTTTATTCAATATAGTCCGTTCATCGTTTATGTATTGATTTGTTCATTCAGTGGTTGGCCGTAACAAGCCTTCAAAAACGTTATGTTTCTTCACCTTCACGATGACATTTTTCAGTTCTCCTTCCTCAAGATCTTTCTGCCCGATGCCAGACCGGCACACCTAAAACCGATTTCCATTCGACAACTAGTCAAAAAGGCAGGCAGGTACACCATCGAGTCGTGTATCGGTGCGATTTTGTTGGCGATGGGAATCGTAAGTTATACAAGCAAGCGACGATGTATAACTTTATTCGACTGCTGTCTTGTTCTTTACACTTCAGGTTATGGCTGGCACAGGTAACCTCGATCTTCTGCGCATCATTCGTTGTTGTCACGGCCGGCTCGATTTTGATGACAGTAACCTTTGTCCATTTCACATGGCCACACATATGGCCCTTGGACTTCTTTTTCTAGGTGGAGGAAGGTCAGAGACGATATTTGACTTGATTTACTCATGGTTCATTGCACATATCTCTGTATTTATGAACGTAAATGAAGACTTCGCTAGCTGAAGATCGAAAGCAAAATATCCGTTAATTTCAATATGAAAAGTTACCCAATACGTTTCCAACTTGCTTTACTGTACAAACCAAAATTATAGCAATCTTTTATGACAGATATTACTTAACAGTGTGCTCTATTCTATGCACCCTAGTCATGCCCTACTATTCTTTTCTAAGCACAGATGTCCGTAGTAGATGTGAAGGTTAAGAAATCATGACCTATGGTACCGTGTACTTTATTCTGCGTACCTTAATGAACTGGAATCTATTCTCTTATGGACACAGCTCAAGATGAGACGGTTAAATGAAAGACACCTGCCCTGTTCGACAGACTGTTTGAGCATATGCCGTTTACTCCAGCCCTTGAGTTTCTCGTGTGAAGATCAAACACGACAGACGTCCACCGGGAGGCTAGAATGTAACTGGCAGGCTCAAGGTAGAGTCAGATTTATTTTCTGAGAGGACTATTTCCTTTTACGATGCAACAACCGGAGCAATATGACGGAATTTACTGATTTGTTAAATCAGACTTTTGTTGTTGATATATACAGATCATATCTTTGAGCCTTCTGTATAAGTAGAACATCTCTGCTATGTGATGTCCGCAGCTTTTCAACACTTGCTATAAGGTAGAAGGAAATATTTCTTTCCCAATGTAGATTACCCTCTACCTTGTTTCTCCATGTTTCGTGCTGATCTCTTTGTCGGCATCTGTTGCGTTTTGGTTGATACACGAGAAGCTCACTGGCTGGCGTTAATGTTGTATCCGCAACCAGTTTTTATAATGGGGCAAATCTCCTTTTCTTGATCTCTGTATATCCCATGATTTTCTGAGCTCAGATGAGAATAGTCATTCCTTTCATAGTTCTGCCATTTAAACCTCAGCCGTCTTTCTTCATCCGTTAAAACAACTGTTTCAGTTGTGGAAAGTGTAACTCCTTTTTCAGCTGAAACAGTCGGTTTCCTAAAGCACTTGAGGTTAAGGCAGTCCTCTTATTAAACATTAGCTTGGTGGTGCTCTCATTGGAGATGATGGATCTGAGGTACTTACACAGGTCAAATTCGAAAAGAGCTGCAGTTCCCTGTTCCACTTGTAGATCAGCTGCTTCAGATGGGTTCCTCATAACTTTTGCCTTTCGGGCGTGAAGGATGTCCCAGCTGTGTTGCATATCGGAGTCGTCAGGCTGCAGAGCCCGCTTTCCGTACTCAGCGGCGCAACAACATTTGCAGGTCAGCAAGATATATTGAACTGCGCCTTTCCTCTAAAACGAGATTTTCGTCTTTGCCAGGATTAACATTGTTTCGGCGAAGAAAGCCCAAAACAATGTTAGATGGTAAAAATTGAACACATATACCTGCCGAACTCCACAGTAATAGGAAACTACTCAGATAACTCTCCATCTTTGACAACAGGCATGGTTCCTGCACTTGTCTCAGGTTTCCCGTAGTATTTCAAGATTTTCGATCTTTGGGCGATATATAGAACCAATGCAGCCTTAAAATCGGAGAAACTGGCAAACCAAAGTAATCTATACCGTTGGCATTTCTCAACGCTACTCAGAGGAAAATTTGATTTGTGCAGAAGTACCTCAACCAGATTCTTGTTGATTTTGGTGATGTTTTCCATCAATTGCCTACCTGAGCTTTCCCAGGATGATTCGGGAGAAACGTTGGAGTTAGCGTGGTGAAACCGCGAATATTTAAACACTCGATCTCTAAGTATAGGGACAGTTACTCCACACTTCCGCCGTTATCCTGCGATGACACATTGGATGAAAAGGGCATAGAGATTTTCTGCCATTCCCGTTCTCCCATTTTGAATTAGCCATGGTGAATTCGATCCATAAAGGAGGCTTTCTTGTTGTCAACGAGCCTTTTCAGATTTCTAGTTTTTTGGTTTATCTGTTCTAGCCTCTACTGTTGATAGAGAATGAACGGCCAGAATTGACCAGAAATATTTTGGACAGACGTTGTGTAGCTACTTTAAATGCTAGCCCAACTTTTGAGGCGTTCCTTCTGATCTGCCCTGGGACACCTTCAGCATCTTCAATTAGGACAGACGTTGTCTCTTGCTTACCGCTCAAATGTCGCACCTCTTTGAACACTATTAGCCACTTATTCCCTCTGCCTGTCTTTCGATCATCCTGATTTTTCCTCCAACCAAAGTTCCCTGTTCTCTCTGTGGCTTTGGTTGATTGCACGAACGAAACGATTACGAACTGCTTTCGAGGGTGCAGTAGGGTGTTACAAGCTCTCTTTTTTACAGGATTCCTTTGCGCTTTAAAGGCTAGGGTCTTCTCTAGCCGTGGCAGTTCGCCCAGTCTCTTTCTGGACGTTTTTCGCCTGAAAAATCATGACACTTATGCCTTTGTTAGCTTCATACACAATGTTACTTCCCGACTAGGTATTAATTGTGGCACTGAAATAAATCGATTTTCTCGTCGTTCTTCAGACCGCGCTGCTTCATCATATTTTAGTCCGTCAGTATGTAACAACTAATATGTTTCAACCAGACGCGATCGATGCGATACGGCTAATTTTAGTAGAGGTTCCGCTATGACTATATGATGGTCAGACCCACTTCTAGCGCCACGCCTGGCGGGATTCCCGTGTAACCAGTGTGCATCATTCACAGTTGATGGAGACGTGCTCCAGCTGGGTGTTTGGGCTTCCATCTGGCGATGTCCATGTGGTTTGGTGAATATGCTTATGAGGAGAAAGGATTCCGCTGACAGTTCTATCGTTTGTCACAGAAGGGCTTAACTGATTCCTACTGTTGTCATTCACGGTGTCAGTACCGTTACCGCGCTCGGCTCCCACCTTTGCATTGAGATCGCCTGTAACAGTTGTGACGTCATTACGCGACAAAGCATTAACAGTTTTAGATAGCGTCTTTGTCGATATCACTTGATACTTTTGCGACTGTGACATTCAGTTTCGCCTATTTGGCATTCACCCGATAGACCGTTTGGCATTCAGATTTTCTCCACACCTGCTCTACTGAAATGACCCCCCGTTTTAGCTTATGGGACAAGTGGATACCCGCATCTGCATAGCATAATCTAATTTGGCCTACTTACCAGAATGGCTCTCATCCTGCAAGTTAAGTATCTCCTTACCTTGGTAGTGAGCTTCGGTGTCCGCCAGTACATCGAGCTTGTACGGACGGGCCGTAAAGCAGTCATCGTCTAACTTGCCTTCATTAGACATGAACGTTACGTTTCACCATGCAACACGTAACTTACTTCGTGCAGTGTTTACTGTTGGCATCTCGTATTTCTTGCTTCCTAGTTGATGGATAAGTTGCGTGTGGGTTCCGCTCACTGAATAAATCATTTCCGCGAAATCCATGAATTCGTACCCGCTCCTTAAAAAATCAACCTTGTCATATCGAAGTATTCAAACATTAACATTTGTGCAAAAGTTACTGTAGTTAGCAAATGCCTAAACTTACATGAGTAAAGCATAAATACTTTCTTATTAAAACTTATTGTGCACATGGCAGTAACACACATATGCGTTCAACAAGGAATTGTTCCCTTGAGGATGCAGTGACAGGTGTCTCACTGCAAAATGTTCAAAAGCTGAGAATGCAGCAGGTGACACAAATTTATTCAAATATATTGTGCTTATACAAATGTCTCAACGTGATTATCATAGGGCTACATCCATCCATACGATTCTTCAAATCGTCCCAATTATATGTCATTTAGGTAAACCGAATGGGATAGATTATCAGGCGTGATTGCTCCATGTTTCCAGCGTAAAGAATCCGTTTGCTCATTGAAACGTACTTAAACGCTGACCATGAAACTTCTGCAAGACTCTCTGAAGAATTTCTGTTCTGAGTTTCCATTCATGTGTCCAAACCATCGCAGGGCAATTTTTCAATGTAAACAAGAAGTGCCACACAAATGTAGGCATATCGTATGGCCTATTCTGAAACTTATGAGACCTTCTCTCATGTTCTTATATAATTTGCAAGGCACTACGTAAGAGTTTGGTAAGTAAAGATTAATTTGAATACAAAAAGTTTTTATTCGACAGATTTGAATTGTCCTACTCACTGTTCTATTCTTTTAATAAACATCGGCCAAATGAACCGATTGCGTCTAACACCTGTCACGGACAAACCTTATGGATTTTTGTTAATGACTTACTGGCTGGGTTAACAGATATCATTTTACTAGCAAGTTTGTAGATTGATCAGCACTATCAGATTAGGTGATGATGCAAAACTTTACATAATTTCATGGCTTCTTTTG